ATCTGGAATAGTTATAGCGTGTTAACCTTTTTTTTCCATTCATATGATTTCCTCCATTACCTTTTAAATATATTTAAAATATTTTTTAACTGATGTTTTAAACTGAGTTCATGAGGAGAAACAGTTTTGATGGGGAAGATGTTGTGAGGATATTGAAACAGCTATATGCACTACCTGAATAGCAAGGTTTATTCATTTGCATATGCAGGTAGATTTGCATATTATGACTTCTGCAGGGCGGGCAGGGGAGATATTTTTTGTTAGTTATTGTCTTCCCCATTATTAATATGTTATTGTGTTATTATGAGTTAATGTTTCCACAAATTATTTGGTTATTTGTATTTGAGTTTTCCACCATAAGTTTGATGTAATGCGCATATTGGTTGGTCCTAAGTAAGAATAAAGCTCAGTGTGTTAGTTCCATATGGAACTGCATGTCCTGTTTTGTTATTAAGGGATCCAGTAACACAGTCTTTGAACCTGTTGGCTGGCTGTTTGGTCCCTGGATCTTGGGACAAGTTAAAAAAGCTAGGCCGAAAAGTCACAATTGCTATTATCACAACATAGGCAGAGGTGTAGATAATTGCCTGGGAAAGAGCACAAGAGGCAAAGGCAGAGGTCACTCTTGATGCCAAGTAGTCAGGAGTCTTCTCCTTCAATGTGCAGTGTTATGGCAATAGGAATTCACCAGCATATGTGATGCAAATTTTTAAAAAATAAAATAAATATATATATATATATCTTTATGGCTGGGATTAAAGCAATTAAATAAGGTATACTCACATAAGGAGCCCAAAAGTAGTTTTTGTTTAAACCTACATTGCGTAGGTGGTATCTTCATCACCAAGGAAATAAAAGTGTGAATCCTCCGGATAATATCTTCAAGGATAAAATCGGGAAGGTCCAGGTGTAGTAAATAGTTTTATTTCAGACAAAAATAGTAAAAAACAATATACAGCATAAAAAAACACAAAAGCATTTCTCCAGACTGGGCTTTCTCATAGGACACCTGCTATCACCAAGTAGCCTGCTTTCACCATAATCACTATAAACATGTGCAGTGGTTATGGTGCTTAGAGCGATCCTTTGTATACTGTGTAACGGATGCCATCTTGCCTTGATTTGTTTGTAATATCCTTCACTATTTGCATTATTAATTGTCTAATCATTATTAAATGTAATAAATAGAACAAATGAATAAAATGCTACCGGTTTCCACCCTGGCTGCAGACCTGCTAATGTCTGATACAAACACCCTGATCACTGGGGGGTCATGGCATGATATGCCAGCCCAGACATGGTCACAAAACCGAACTGAATATGTATTCTTTCCATCTCTATATAAATGAATACAAATAAAGATATTGCATGTTTCTTGTTACAGGTCAAAGAAATAGAATGTCGCAGATTTTAATTCCTGTTCTCATTGTTGTCGTGGTGATACTGGTATTTTCAGTATATAAATTTAGGAAGCGCAGTAAGTATTCTTTAAGTCTCCATTCATTCTAAATACTAAAATAAGTTTTATACATTTTGTGTTTCAATATTTAAATTTTATTATTAAAGGAAAAGTAAATGTTTACTATGACAAAAAGTTTAATAAAATTTCTGAGATTCATTAAAACAGAAATCAACCTTTAGAAATTAGCGCCCAGTGAGTCTGACACATTGTAGCCGGGGTTTTTATCATTCCCTCGTAAGATAGTTAATGAAAAGGAAACAAGTGCGCCAGAGAAAAATGATCAAAATCAGCTCTGGTTTTCTGCGATTTTAATTCATTTCTTTTTGCAGGACAGACAAACGAGAACAATGCGTCCCCAGATGTAAAATTGGTCTTTTTGGGTAAGGTGTAACTAATAGACTTAAAATATAAATCATATGGCCATTCCTAATTTGACTTCTGAAATCCAGTATTTCAACACACAAGGTGATGGAAGGATAGATACACTATTTCCACTTTTTGAAATTCTGAATCACTGTCTCTCAGTATGTAATGTATATTTATAGATTTTCTGTTCATGCTTCTCCTATTTTCTCTATTGGTAACTTTTCTCACTTGATCTGTGAGCCAAATGGTGGGATAATGCTCCTATCAGTGCACTCCAAAATATTTACCTAATATCATATTATGTATGAAATTTGCAGCAAATTGATTTAGCCATTTTCATGAATGTTTGGTTTGTTCTTCTGTTTTGGTTCCCAAAATTTCTCGCCATATGTATATATACATATATACACATACATGTCTAATGTTAAGTGTTCTAGTATCTTGAATATTAACTCCTCTCACTATTGTCCCTGCACGTCAGGCTCCTATAGGGTAATTTCCTGCTCTGGCAGTGTCTCACCCCGCACAGCCCTTGGTGTGCTCAGCACTGTGTCTCAATACAATATTGAACCAGCCGCTGACACGTTACTGGTCCTTTAATTCTGATTTAATCTGTTGTGCATTGGAACAAAATTTATAGTTAGAAATCTATTCATGTTTTTATTATTTAAATTAAATTATACTTTCACTCAATTACAGGGACTCCTCCACATGTTGAAGATATCATAGTATCCGATCAATTACCTTGGTCCCAGAAGGTGAAGCTGGAGTGCAAGATCTCAGGATACTCTAACCGGGATAGGCCATCTGTGACCTGGTATAAACAGGAGCAAGGTGATCTCCAACCAGTTACATTAAATTCCAGTGAGATTTATGAGATCCAGGAGCTAAGATATGAGATACAGGATGCTAACACGTACAGCTGTACAGCATGTCTGATTATCAGCCAATCACTGAGCTCAGAGCAACCGATAGAAGTCATCTGCAGAGTGGAACATCCCAGACCGGAGCAACCAATAGAGACACAGACTGAATCATTACAAGTGATGGGTGAGTCCATTAGTTCACAGACTGTGTATTATATATATCTTTCCTACTTCAGCTGTGAACAGAAAGGTTGTAAAAACTTTGAATTAAAGAGAGATGAGATGTCATAATATCCAATGATAATAGCAAAATGTAGATATAACTCAATGGG